GTCAGAGATACTTTATCTCATTTATTGATAACAATTCCAGATAGAGTCGGAGAGTACTACGGCAGGTAGACAGAAAAGGGACAAATGCCAGGTTAATTTACAAAATTCCTTAATGAAGAGGGCATCATTGCCCAATATACCATACCCCAGTACACCACAACAAAATAATATATCAAAAAGGAGGATTCACATGTTTATTGACATGGTGAAGAGCATGATTGGTAATTCTAATCTTCCTCAAACTCTTTGGAGTGAAGCCTTAAAAACGACAATGTATATTTTAAATAGGGTTACAACTAAAAGTGTTCCTAAAACACCATTTGAACTATGGTACGGATGTAAACCTAGTTTAAATCACTTGTTGTTATGGTGTTTTTAGTCGCCAAAGTATGTCCCTTTGCTAGCAACGGACATGTGTCCCCCTACACCCACTGCTCAAATTGAATTGACAGTCAAGACCACCAAGAATCCCGACTTAGCCGACTCGTTGCGTCGACATCTCTTTAAATCGACTCGAAGGGCGGTACTTATTGGTCATCTCGTCGAAGATGACTCGCTACGAGCCCACTCGACCAGTTATTCGACACCTTACGGGGTCAACTCGAAGGGTGTTACTTCTCGACACCCCTCGCTACAAGCTAGAGGATGACTTCAACCTCGAGCCTCTCCTGCTGACAGTATGTCAACGTCACATTAAACGCTTGGTAGGCGCCATCATTTCTCCATCCCCTGCACTACTTATACACAACGGACCACGTCGGCACCGTTATGCCTCTAATCACTTCACATTAAGTACTAAGATGACCTCTCCTCCACTCATCGACCGCCACCTGTAAAGCAGATGCTGACGTAGACCGTCATCCTATACTCGGTCAGAATTATCATTCTACCTTTTTATCACCACTATAAATAATGGTACTATTCTCAATAACAGGGTAAGCAATTTCTCAGCATTCTTCTCCACTCCACTATACTTTAGAACTCACATAGTTCATTACTTTCCCACTCAAGTCCATCACTGACTTGATCATCGTAGGAACAATGGAGGAACTAGTCCTCGTCATCTTACGAGCTGTTATTTATGCAAGGGAGAAGTTACCCAACTTAAAGTCAGATATTCGGAGAAGTTAGCGGCCCCTATTCAACCTCACCCCTATTATATTATCTGTGTGATTGTTAACATCAACACTTGCATATATGGGGTTGTCCAGTTGAAGTAAGGATTTATAATGCACATATAAAAAAAACTTAATTCAAGGACAACCAATGGTTGTTTTATTGGTTATCCAGTTAACTCCAAAGGATATTGGTTTTATTATACTTCACACTCTATAAGAGCAGTTGAGACTAGAAATGCTAAATTTCTTGAGGATTATAAACCTAGTGGGGGTGCATTTCCTCATAAGATAGAATTGAAGGAAGCACATAAGGAAATTGAGTTGCATCAAGATAGAGATTCCATAATAAAGCCCCAGTTAATGTAAATCAAGAGCTAGGATTAAGAAGGTCCTTAAGGGAAAAAATCAGCTATTTCTAGTGATTCTGTTATATATCTTCAGGAGTTTGATTTTGATATTGGACCTAGAGATGATCGGTGAACGTTTTCACAAGCCGTGAATGAAGATCAATCTGCTTTTTGGTATGATGCTATGAAAGAAAAGATGAAATTTATGGCTAAAAATTAAGTCCATGGTCTCGTTGAATTACCAAAAAGTGTTATAGCTATAGGTTGCAAATGAGTCTACAAGACCAAAAGGGACCCTTCTGCTAATGTTCGAGTGATACAAGGCTATACTTGTGGCTAAAGGTTTCACTCAAAAGGAAGAGATTGATTATCATGAAACATTCTCTCCAGTTCCAAAGAAGGATTCATTTAGGATTATCATGGATTTAGTAGCTCATTTTGATTTAGAATTACATCAAATAGATGTGAAAATAACCTTTCTGAATGGGGATCTTGAGGAAGAAGTATACATAAGGCAACCAAAATGATTTCGTGATGAGAAAGATAATCACTTAGCTTATAAGCTAAATAAATCAATATATGGACTAAAACAAACCTCACGTCAATGGTATAAAAAGTTTCAAAATGTTATTTTTTCATATGGATTTTCTGAGAATATCGGTGATTGGTGTATATACCTTAAGCCTTAAGGTCAGCGAGAGCAATGTTATATTTCTAGTCTTATATGTGGATGATATTCTACTTGCAAGTAGTGATTTAGGTTTGTTACATGAGAGAAAATAATCCCTCTCTAAAAACTTGAAAATGAAGGATTTCGGTAAAACTTCTTATGTCATTGGCATATAAATTTATAAAGATAGGTCTAAAAGAACTTCAAAACTATCTCAAAGGTCTTAGATTAAAAATGTATTAGAGAGATTTAGAATGAAAGATTATGCGTCCATGTTAGCACCTATCATCAAAGGGGATAAGATCAGTCAAGATCATTGTCCACAAAATGAACTAGAGAAGGAATAGATAAAGAACATACCTTATGCATCTACCGTGGATAGCTTGATGTATGCACATATCCACACTCGACATGACATCAGATTTTTAGTAGGATTATTGGGTCGATACCAAAGTAATCTTGGTATGGAACATTAGAGGGTTGCTAAAAGGGTCATAAGATGTCTGAAGGGAGCCAAAAATTACAGATTAACTTACAGTCATACTGATCATTTGGAGGTGGTTGATTATTCAGATTTAGACTTTGCTGATGCGTAGATTCAAGAAAATCTACTTCGGAAAATGTCTTCCTTCTCGCTGGAGTGCTATATCTTGGAGAAGTACTAAGCAAACAATTATTGCTTCATCTACCATAAAGGTAGAGTTTATTGCATGCTATGAAGCCACTACATAGACATTATGGTTGGGGAACTTTATCTCATATCTCAAAGTCGGTGATCCTATTGTAAGGCCTATGACGTTCTACTGTGATAATTCAGCGGCTGTTTTCTTCTCCAAAAATAATAAAAGTGGAAGCCGAAGCAAGCATATTGACATAAAATATTTTAGTGTTAAAGAGAATGTGAAACAAATTGGTGTGTCCATTCAACATATTAATACCGAACTTATGATTGCATATCCAATGACTAAAGAATTACTAGCAAAACAGTTCCTAAGTCATATAGAGCATATGTGATTGTTTTAGCTCGTTATGTGTTTGTTTTCTCTAGTTGTTGTTAGACATGTTCTGAATATTATTGGAGAATAAAGTTTGATTTTATTGTGCACAAATAAAGTTTTCATATTTAAATTATATTCGTTAAGATAGTCAAAGTAGGACCCGAGTGATTTGTAGGAGGTCACTCATAATGTTTGCTCATAAAATTGCTCACTTAGTGAATTTATGCATCATGATAAATGGAAGGAAGAGCTCATTATTACTAAGGACTTGACCGCTATGATTCATGGATTAGATTCTTTATTTGAGTGGGAGCTATCCACTACTAAATGGTATGAATTTTAATCATGACCATACTTTTTTGTTAATTATGAGATATTTATATCATGTGGACCAAGTGAGACAATATTGTATCCGGATAAAGTTATGGCCCACATGATACAAATTACCTTAATTTGTTATTTGTTATGGTATTAGAAATTCTTATTCTATAAAAGTTATAGTGGATTGAGATAAGATTATATCTAGATAGTTTCGCTAATAGATGTAAACTATTTTAAGAAGTATTATCTTTTAAGAATTCAAGTTATAGCAAAAGGGTCCTAGCCTAGCCTATAAATACATCCATAGTCCCTCCGTCAAATTTGGGCTATTCGGCAAAGCATAAGCTAGAAACTCCTTCTGTATTTATTTTCTTTATTCTGACAGTGGTCTAACTTTGGCATTTGTTTCTGTACATGCTCAGATTATCTCTTATTTTGATCTAATTTTCTGAGTTACAAATCGTTCTAGACAATAATGACCGGAGGTGTTTTTAATTTAATTTATTTCCGTTGTGTGATCTGTATTTATTCAGATTACAATATCTAACATAGATTTCTAATTATAAAATAAAATTAAGAAATAATCACCTTGAACAGCAAAGACCAGGCCAAGGAGAAGCACGAGAGCAAAAATGAGCTTCATGGCTTTGTTTGTTTACTTCTTTTGCTTTTTGTATGTTTATGTACACCATTAGTGTGGCATTTATACACATCTGGTGCCTGGAGACAATTAATATATTGCCATTTTTTTCGTAATACAGTGCAAAAAAAAAAAATCTCTATTTTGCCTCAATGGATGGTCAAATACTACACAGCAAATCTTTTTATATTTTCACGAGAAAATAACAGCTATATATATATATATATATATATGCACAATCACTCAAAATATTTGCATGCGAAGAAAGCGTGTCCCTTCAGGAGTGTAGGCTGGGCCAAGTCTACGTTGCTGTTGCTGGGCTTCAAATAAGTTTTGGAACGTAACTAACATGACCATCGTACAACCAATAGCCCACACACGCACAAAAAAAAATTAAAAAAGAAAAAGAAATGAAAAAAAAGAAGAAATAAAAATAAAAATAAAAATAAAAATAAAAATACTAGATATAATAAGAAAAATTTCCTGAAGAGTGACGAAAATTAATGAAAGTTGGCATGTGATGCACACTTGATATATTTTGTGTGTGGTTTTATTAACTCCACCCTTTTTTCGTTCTTAGCTATCGGGGTATTTTAGAGTTTTTAACAATATAGTTAGCATAATTTATGACAGTATATAATATTTTTCTGCATATTTTAAATGTATTTGGTATTTTTATTTAATGAAAATAGATAGAATAGTTTTTATATGACAGAGGATGCGGGAACAAATTAAATTAAAAAGTACAAAAAGGGAGAAAAAAAAAACAGAACCAGATGCGTAAACATGTCCATCAATCACAAGCCGGACCAAGTCAGCCCAGCCCACTTAGAGCCCAAGTAGCACTGCGGCCAGTTGTCAAACAAAATCTCATTTTGCTAAAAAAAGGAAACGATGAATCAAATACTACACAATTACGCTCATCTCCAGAAAACAAAGCAAAAGGAGAGGGGAAAAAAAAAGTAGGAGGAGGAAAAAATGGAGAAAGAAATGAAATCATAAACCCTAGCGCATCATTCATCGGTCTCGAGTCGGCCAACGATGTCGAGGAATCGAGTGGCCGGTTACGATCGAGACGTCGGGTGCTGCAGCTGCCTAGGGTTCCTGATGAAATCATGGAGGGGGATGAGCTCCTCCTGCACTGAAGAAGATCACGAGTTCTTGATCGACGATGAAGGCGTTAACGGATACAAGGGCAATGTCAGGTCACTGAAGCGTTCGTCTTCTTTCCCCGCGCAAAATCGCGCGATTTGTCGATTGAATCCGGTTAAGGTCACCACTAATCTCACCAGAGGCCAGGTATACCTTTCCTCAATTTTACTTTTTATTCCTTTTTTTCCCGGTGAAATTGTTGGTAGCACCCTAAAAATGGGAGCTATTTTGTCTGTATATTGGAACTTAAATTAGGTCTGCTGTGGCTATGATTGAATGCCGGTTTGTAAGCTAGATCATTGAGCGCAGGGAAAACTCTAGGGTCCATTAAGTCCCACGTTGACTAAATGATGAATCAAATAAGGATTCAATTTGTGGGTTTATAAAAGAGATTTGGGTTCTCTTTGTCTAATGGTTAGCTTTTCAGCGTTGAGTTCTCCTAGGGCTTACGAATGTTATCAGAGCTAACCCCCACCTTCCTAGTCGAGCGTGCGGTGAGCCCGCATGAGCATCGGGATTGCTAAAGCGTAGTAGTAATAGGGCCCATTTAGTATCACATTGTCAAATCAATTGTGGGTATATAAGATATTTGAGTTCTTTCTCTAATGCCTAGCTTTTAGGGATGGGTACTTCTAGGTCTCTTATATGTTACTGCAGTTTCATTTTTGGGACTTGAAAGACTTTTAACTTTGTGATCAGGTATATTACTTAAGATGTCGTGAGATGGGGTAAAAGGTCAATGGGGTTTTCTGAAGCTGTGATTTAAGGTGAATTTTTTAAGGTAGGTTATCAAATCCAGTGTTGAGAAGATCAACCTTCCTTGCACTGTTAAGCAAGCTTTATCCTCTGGTGCAAGCTGCCCAATAGTTCCTTTCTGGATTTATGTGCACCAAGAACAAAGAATAATTTCTCTATTCTCAGGAGAGAAGATTAGTTGACTTGTTCCTATGATGGGTTAAACATATTTAAGGGTGATATTTTTCCTGGTCTGTTGCCAAAAAAGCCATTTGGCAATGATAGCCCTAATTAAAATTAAACCACCTTCATGTCTGTTTAACTTTGTTTTTTAACAAGCCATAGACCATTAATCTTTTATTAGTGTGACCACTTTATGGCCATCAGTAGTAACATATGTGAGATTTTGACATTTTGTTGACCACATCTTGCTAAGATATTTCCTCCTAGTCTTATGATCCATTAAATGAGTAAATGCTCATCATGTCTCTTCTCATGTACCTGCCTCTGGGCATACTATAACTTTTGGAAGCAACAGCGTTTCACAGGCAAAAGGCAGGCAAAGTCGACAGAATCTAGTATAGTCTGAGGCAAGATACATCAGCAAGGTGATCACCAAACCAGAGCAAGGAAAAAAAACATTCAAAGTACTGTAGTAAACATATAAGTTATAAATTATATGTACTATAGAACAATATTATGCAATCCATTTGAGTAATTCATAGCTGAATGATTTGAAGCATGAAAATATTATTGTGATGCAGGACAAGAGAACAAGGATACAAAGTACAAACAAAATTAATAAGTAGAAGTGATAGCATATTGTTTGTAAGGCATCTAATAATCTAATTTTCATGCAGTCTTTGATAAAAATCAAAATTCCAAAGTAAACGATACTAATATGCAATAGCCTCTGTGCCTATTTTCAAGAGGTGCTCTCTGTTGGTTTATAGAAAATGAAGTTGAGGACCCTAATTAGAATTTATTATTTGGTTTCAGAAGGTTGTTTAAGGGAAAGCACTCAAAGAGTTGTTTTAGGATAAGCCTTCTTTTAGCAACTGCATATGGAGTTTGGCAGGAAAAGAATTCCATATTGTATATGGTGAAATCTCATATGCTCGGTTTTGTTGCTAATAAGCAGAAGTTGAATGCTAAATGTAAGATGTATAAGAGATAGTGACGTGGTGATCATTGTTATCGAGGCGCGCCGCGGGCGCGCCCCGAGCGCGGGGTGTTGTGGGCTGGGACGATTGCGCCCTACACCAGAGACGGGGCGCTGCACACACACGAGGCGCGTGCCTCGTGTGCGCTTGACACCTGCGTCATGTAAAAGATTCTTTCTTTTGTTTTTTAAAATAATTTACATATTACATATTTACATCATGTAATAGACTTTTTCTTGCTAGTTGCTAATCCATTCTCCATCTTTTCATGTTTAACCTATAAAAAGGAAACAATAATTAGTAATTTAGTATGTTTGTTTGTTAATTGTAACTTCCTTCACTAATTAGCATGCTAACTAGAAAATTATGAACATGTAATTATGTAATTGTTACCTCCATTCTCCATCTTTTCATGCTAACTAGTAAATAACAATTAAGAATGCTAATTAGAAAATTATGAACAATCATGTTTTTTTAATCACTTAATTGTTACTTAAAAATACATATATCATATTTTAAATAAAAATACATATTTCTTATTTGTTACTTGCTTGTTTTGTTTCATAGACTTTTGCTTATGTTGGAGATTATCTTGCATTGTGATTTGTAGAAACTTATGAACTTCTCTATGTTATGCATGCTAGTTAAAACTCTTTCATGATTTAGTAGGTGAAATTATATTTCTTGATCTTTTTATGTGATAATTTATAAATATGTTGCTTATATGCTTCCAGTGTTGTAAAACACGCTCTGGGCGGCCGCCTAGGCGCCCGCCTAGGCGGAGGCGGTGCCCAGAGCGTTCCAAAATGCCCTGGGCGGCCGCGATTAGGCGCTGCGAGCGCCTAGGCGGCCGCCCAGGGCTAAACGGGCCGATTACACGGGCCGCTTCAAAATTCCAGCCCAAAAAAAGCGCTGGGCGCTCCCAAGAACCCGAAACCCAAAAACAAAACCCGAAACCCAAAACCCAAAACCCAAACTCAAAAGTAAAAAAATCTATCCCTAAATCTCTTACGGTTTCACCGACGCCGCCAGCAAAAGGAAAAAAATCAAAAATTGTCTTCGTCGCTTCGATCTCGTGCTGGCGTTTCGAGCTCTTCTTCAACCTCGTGCTGGACTTTCGAGCTCATCTTCAATCTCGTGTTGGAGCTTCGTCTTCGATCTCAACCCAAGTTCGGTCTCGTGCTGGAGCTTCGTCTTCGATCTCCGCCAAAACCCTAGTTCGATCTCGTGCTGGACTTTCGAGCTCGCCTTCAACCTCGTGCTGGACTTTCGAGCTCGTCTTCAACCTGGGAGCTCATTTTCGAGCTCGTCGTTCTCATCTCCAACTTCGAGCTCGTCGATCTCATCCTCATGCTGGACTTGCGTTCTCATCTTCAACCTGTAAGTAAAACACGACTTCAAACTTTTGGGTTCGGCTGTGCTCTTAAGCAGATTCGGTTCTCATTAACTTGGGTTCGGTTGTGTTGATAATTTTTAGGGAAATTGGGTTGCTTACTTGTGTCTGTTGCTTCCAGGTGTGGGTTGCTTGATTTTTTGGCTTGTGTTTAAGAGAAATCTGTCTTGATTGATTGGAAAGGTAAAATCTGTGTTGATTGGAAAGGTAACGTCCCTAAATCTCTTGAATTTTCTGTATGTTTAACTGTTTAAGAGAGATAGTAAGTTTAATCCGCTGATGTTTCATGTTTGGTAGATTCTTATTACTTGTGAGGATTTTTTATTATATGTTCTTCAATTTAGCAGGCTAGCGAAGTTGAGATTTATTGTTTCAAGCTTAAGGAAATTAACTGCACCTAACCACCTATGACTGTCATTTAGTATGTATGAATCTTTGATTGACTATTATAGTTTGGATAGTATATGTGTTGGTATTTTTGTATTTATGCGTTGTGATTGAGTATATATATTTCAAGTATCACAATTAAAAAGTGATTGAGTATATATATTTCAAGTATCACAATTAAAAAAAGAAAAACCGCCCAGAAGAAAAAAACCGCCCAGAAACCGCTTAGGCGCCCGCCTAGGCGTCTAAGCGCTGGGCGCCAAGTCCGGCGCCCAGGAGCGCCCAGCGTTTAATGTAACATTGTATGCTTCTTTGTCTTATGTTGGAAAATATTAGTTTGAATTGTGCGCCTCAATTCAGTGAGGCGCATGTATCGTTGTGCGCCTTGTGCATGGTGTGCGTAAGGGGCCTTTGCACCCCGCCTTGCGCCTTGCGCCTTGCGCCTCGCGCCTTGCGCCTCGATAACAATGGTGGTGATAGATAGAGAGTTGTCGAAGTTAGGGTGATTCCAGGAGGTTTTGGAATTTCGGGGTGTTTTGGAGTTTCAGGTTTGAGAAGAGCGAGGTAAGCGGAGTTAAGTTGCAATTCATGTGATGGTGTTGGGGTTTCACGTTTGAGATTTATCAGATTTGGAGGATGAGTTTAGCTTTGTTTTTGTAATTTTTTTCTTCTGTGGAGTAGTTTGTTCCAGTTTTGGTTGTGGTTGTTGATATTCATTTTTACTTGAGGCTAGGTTATTTGGATAGATGACATTTGTTGCCAAGTTTGGAGGCTGAGGTTTGTTTTATCTATCTCCTTTTGGGTAATATTTCTGTGTAAGGGCACTAGAGTAGCTGTCTATATTCTAGAAGTGTTAGAACGGACTGGTCTGAAGATGTAAGTTCGGGACTTTTTAGTTTTGACATTTTGTTAACCTGGGTACGCTTGGTTATCAAATGTAAATGTGGTTGTACACTTGTACATTAAGATTTTTCTCACCTTTGTCTAAAAAATGCAATAATAGATAGTACTAACAAGTATTGAATCACAATTAGTATCATGTTCAATGCAATGGCCCTATTTAGGAAACTAAAGTTCAACACACTGTGCCTATTGAGGAAATTAGAGTTAGATAGGGTAGAAGTATTATAAATTTATAATGCTAAACTAAGCAATTGATCTAACTTAATTGAAAATGAAAGATATCTAACATATAATAATGCATAGAACAATATACTACCAAAGATGATGGATTACATAAGATACAATTAGAAGAAATGGGAAGATGATTGTATAATAGGGTTGAATGCAACACCAAAAACCTGTCATTCAAACCTTTTTCTAAGCCAAACATCTCCCCTTATCGCATGCTTTTAAATCACTCTTTGGAACTATTATGTGGAAAGTAATATCTCCATATGTTTTTATGCTCAAATATTAAGTACCTATGATTAGTTTATGGTAAACTAGTTATGCATGATTATTCTTTTTCTCATAGCCCATGAAAGTATGTTGCGTGCATTTTCCTTATTAAGGTTCTTACGTGCAGGATGCTGATGGAAACAAAATGATAAATGAATATGTTAGAGTGTGTAATATAGGCAGCGGAAGCTATGGTAAAGTGGTATAACTCATTTTCCCTTGCTTCGTAAATTAAGTTTTATGCACCTTAGATGAGCTAAAGCAAGAAAGGATTGATCATGGGTTTTGCTTCTGATGAGCAGGTTTTGTATCAAAGCAAAAATGACGGCAAGCAGTATGCAATTAAGGTTCAGTTTCCTCCCATCCATCTCATTTTGTTGTGGACATTATTTTTCATGTTTGAAAAAGAACTATCTTGAAGGTTGCTTTCCTCAATCATACATTGTCACTTGTTAGAAGTCTAAATAGAAAGACAAATTAATGGGAAAGATTATGTGAAAGTTGAACATGTCAAGAAGTTTAGCAAATGAAAATTCAAATGAGATTTGTTGTAGTGCTTGACTCACCTAAGAATAATGAATCATAGCAATCTCGCCCATTCAACTATTGTAAGTTTGCGGTGGCATAGTTGGAGCCAGGAATTTTGGCAAAGCGGTTCAAAATTAATTAAAAATGCTAATCTATAAATATTGTCCACAGTTGATTAGCATATAAAGATTAATACATAGCAAGACTTTTAAATCATATTTCCAATTAGAATAAAGTTTTTACAAGAGCATTATTTTTGCCTTCATTTCTTAAACCGTCTTGTTACATCTTCCTGATCAATATCTCAAAGTATATCTTTTTCAATATAAAACACCAAATAATCATTCATATACTCTTCTTCAATATGATTTTAAATGTCATTCTTAATAATTTTCATTATCGAAAATGCTTTCTCAATACTTGCTATTGCAACGAGCAAAATTAGTGCCAGCTTCATCAACTTGTATACCATGGGATGTAAAGTATCGAACTAATTAGTGCCAACTTCAAAATTAGTGCCAACTTCATCAACTTCATCAATATAAATTCACTAACCGAATTAATTTTCAGTTTTCACTTATTAGACGAAAAGAATGAATTACTTGGTTCGAGACATGCAACACAAATTAGTTGGAGGAGATGTCGCTCATCACATTGACTGAAGGAAGGATTGCGAGAATAAAAAAATGGTCGGGGAATGGATCGGGAGAAAAGAAAGAGTTGCTATTGTGTTTGAAGGTTTCATAATTTTGACCCGATAGTTTAAAAAATTTCTATATATCAATACCTATTAATTTTTGGCTTGGGGGGTTGTTGGACTCTATATGGCTTCGTTTTTGCCAATTTATTCTCTAATTTATTCAAAAAAGTTGAACTGGCCAACCTTGTAATACTATGATAGATATGGTATACTCCGGTTTAAACCATTGTATATAATCCTTCTCATTCTGTCTTCATCGATTTTAGCAATTGTATATAACTGCTCTATTTCACAACCCAAGCTTCTAACTTTCTAAAAATAGTCGTCGATAGATTGCGTACCTTGTGATGTGTTCGTAACCTCTCTCTGATGTCTCTATATCTTCAGTATGTGAAAGCAGACTCTTACTTGTCGTAGCCTGAATCACGTATAAGGCTTTCCTGTCCTTTATATTCCACCTCTTAATTGCTTGTGCATTCTCTGTTAGGGGTGTTAGGGGTGAGGTGTCGTCGCTATCAACAATATCCCATAAGCCGTGACCACTAAAATAGGACTAAATACACGTCCAATAATCTTAATAGTTGTACTTATTAAGTTTCTCCATGCAGTTAGGAATGCTAGTTTGACTTGGCATTGTGACTTGATTATCTTTCATGACCAAGTAAACTTGATTCTAGACACGAGCTTCATAATCCCGGACTTGCACAATCAAAGATCATCCTCAAACGTCTCAAACACGGTCCCCGACCAATTGATGCTCTCAACAATGGTCCTAATCACCTGCTGTTATATCCAACTGTTGAATTTTGGAGAAGACAACTCTCCACACAAATGAAACTTTTATTGATATAACACT